ACACTTTTTCCTTTTTAAGACTGAGCTCTCCTGAAGACAAGATATCATTTTGGGTTTTTAATACTCACACACGCGTCTGGCATTCAGGCTTCGGCAGATTGGGCTGGCTCCAGTTTAATATAACTCCCTAGTCTCAGGGGGAGCCTGATAAAACATCCAGGTCCAACCTATAGTACACTGTTTTTATGGACCAGGGGTCTCCTACACATTGCTCACGAGCTATCACTGACGCACTTGAAAGTCACTCGCCCGTGAGCTATCCTACCTGACTTAAAAAAATGACCTAAATAATGAGGGACGTCTTTTAAATTTGATGGCAAGCTGCACCCATTGTCTATAATATCTGATCTAAAATGTGATTTCTTAAAAGTAAAATGAAAATCTGATTATTGCACAAATCCTTTGGCAATCGTGTTCAAGTCTACTGGAAATACGCAGATTCATTACGAGGGTTGGAGCACCAATCCCAGTAACTCTTCCTTTTGCAGTCCCCTAATTACGAAGTACTTACATGGTAATTACATAGTAAGTTAAAGTGTATAATTGTGTGGTTAACGTGTATGTTTGTAATAAAGCGTAATTGTTTAGTAAAGCAGTATTTACTGGAATTGAATATTAAAATAAAAACTAGAATTGATCTTGAGTTACACAGTATTAACTATTTAATTACTCAGAAACAATAATACACTTTAACTTACTACGTAATTACCATGTAAGTACTTAGTAATTAGGGGACTGTAAAAGGAAGCATTACCCAGATCCCTGTTTCTGTCAACTTTGTACACAGCGGCTGCAGCTGATGCTGAGGGTGAAGATGCACTGTGGGAGAAAACATCCAGGCTTATTTTATCTAGTGCATTTATCAACTTACTATGAATTATAAATAACAGGTCACTAAAATCATGTTCCTAGTGTCTCTAATGGAACTAAAGCTTGTTAGCAGCAGCTCACGTGTTCCAGGAGAAATCCTCTCAGCAGCAGCAGGTGAGCAACATAGTGTGTCTGAACACCAGCCTGAAGAAAAACTAAAACACGTCTAAAAACGCCAACCTCAGTTTGGCCCACCGGTAATTTCGTCAGTCAGGGCCTGGCTCCATCCACCGTCCCTGTTAGACAGGAGCTGCACATCACCACAGCTTGGTTCCATTGGCGCTCATTACTGCGACAATATTCTACAAAGTTTCATAAGTAAACACACAACAGATCTGTGTCTCGTGTATAAAACCATCCACTTCAACCGCGCACAAGCGTTTCTTGTGTGTGTGTGTGTGTGTGTGTGTGTGTGTGTGTGTGTGTGTGTGTGTGTGTGTGTGTGTGTGTGTGTGTGTGTGTGTGTGTGTGTGTGTGTGTGTGTGTGTGTGTGTTAAGAAGTGGAGGGGCGCCTAATCACTGACGTGCTTCTCAGTTATTAATTAGATTTTTTGAAGATACACAAACACAGCTGTTATTAAACACAGGAAATGCAGACAAAAATATTTTTGCATCATCGTTTTGGCACCCCCTCCAGCCTGGCGCCCCTACGCGTTGCATACACTGAATACCCTTTTTTTGCGCTATTGACCACCATGATCGGTGCCATCCGCATGGCAAAAAATGTAAAAATAAAACGTCTCCCTGGGCTGCCACCTTACCGTGGTGGAGGGGTTTGAGTGTCTCAATGATCCAAGGAGCTAAGTTGTCTGAGGCTTTCTGCCTCTGGTAGGGTCACCCATGGCAAACAGGTCCTAGGTGAGGGATCAGACAAAGAGCAGCCCGAAGACCTCTTATGATGAATTATATAAATGGAAACCGTGTTCCCTCGCCCAGACGTGGGTCACCGGGCCCCCCCTCTGGAGCCAGGCCTGGAGGTGGGGAACGTTGGCGAGCACCTGGTGGCCGGGCTTTCACCCATGGAGCCTGGCCGGGCACAGCCCGAAGAGGAAACGTGGGTCACCCTTCCCATGACCTTGGCGGTCTGATCCTCAGCTACAGAAGCTGCCTCTTGGCACATGGAATGTCACCTCTCTGGTGGGGAAGGACCCTGAGTTGAGGTGTGAGGTTGAGAGGTTCTGACTAGATAGAGTCGGACTCACCTCAACGCATGGCTCTGGCTTTGGAACAAGTTTCCTTGAGAGGGGTTGAACTTTCTACCACTCTGGAGTTGCACCCACTGAAAGGCGCTGAGCAGGAGTGGGCATACTAGTTGCCCCCCATCTTGGTGCCTGTACGTTGGGGTTTACCCCAGTGAATGAGAGGGTAGCCTCCGTCCGCCTATGTGTGGGGGGACGGGTTCTGACTGTGGTCTGTGCTTATGCACCAAACTACAGTTCAGACTACCCACCCTTTTTGGAGACCTTGGAAGGGGTGGGTGCTGGAAAGAGCTCCTTCCGGTGACTCCCTCGTTCTGCTGGGGGACTTTAACGCTCACGTGGGCAACAAAAGTGAGACCTGGAGAGGTGTGGTTGGGAGGAACGTCCCCCCGATCAGAATTCGAATGGTGTTTTGTTATTGGACTTCTGTGCCAGTCATGGATTGTCCATAATGAACACCATGTTCAGACATAAAGGTGTCCATATGTGCTCTTGGCACCAGGATATCGTAGGCTGCAGCTAGATGATCGACTTTGTTGTTTCGTCTGACCTGCGGCCACATGTCTTGGACACTCGGGTGAAGAGAGGGGTGGAGTTGTCAACTGACCACTACCTGGTGGTGAGTTGGCTCAGATGGTGGGGGAGGACACCGGTCAGACCAGGCAGGCCCAAACGTATCGCGAGGGTCTGCTGGGAATGTCTGGCAGAATCTGCTGTCAGAAGGAGCTTAAATTCCCACCTCCGACAGAGCTTCCAAAATGTTCTGGGTGAGGCGGGGGACATTGAGTCTGAATGGACCCTGTTGAGGCGTCTGACTGGAGCTGTGGTCGCAGGATTGTCAGTGCCTGTCGTGGTGGCAACCCCTAAACCCGCTGGTGGACACGGCAGTTAGGGACGCTGTCAAGCTGAAGAAAGAGCCCTATCAGGTCTTTTTGGCCTGTGGGACTCCAGAGGCAGCTGACAGGTACCAGCAGTCCAAGCGGAACGCGACTCGGGTGGTCGCCAAGGCAAAAACCCAGGCATGGGAGGAGTTCGGTGAGACCAAGGAGCAAGACTTCCGTACGGCTTCGAGGAAATTCTGGTCCAACATCCGGTGCCTGAGGGTCGGTTGGGGGGGGGGGGGGGGGGCAGTGCGCTACCAGCACTATCTATAGTGGGGACGGTGTTGCTGCCGACCTCTACTCAGGACGTTGTGGATCGGTGGGCAGAATACTTCGATGACCTCTTCAATCCCACCAACACATCTTCCAGTGAGGAAGCAGAGTCTGGGGACTTTGGGTTGGCCTCTCAGATCGCTGGTGCTGAGGTCATTAAGGTTGTTAAAAAGCTCCTCTGTGTCAAGGCTCCAGGGGTGGATGAGGTCCGCCCGGAGTTCCTTAAGTCTCTGGATGTTGTGGGGCTGGGTTGGCTGACACGGCTCTGCAATATTGCGTGGACATCGGGGGCAGTCCCACTGGACTGGCAGACCGGGGTGGTGGTCCCCTTATTTAAAAGGGGGACCGCAGGGTGTGTTCCAGCTACGGGGGGATCACACTCCGTAGCCTTTCCTGGTAAGGACTTTTCAGGGGTTCTGGAGAGGAGGGTCCATCGGATTGTTGAACCTCAGATTCAGGAGGAGCAATGTGGTTTTTGTCCTGGCTGTGGAACACTGGACCAGCTCTATACCCTTAGGGAGATCCTGCAGGGTGCGTGGGAATTTGCCCAACCAGTCTACATGTCTTTTGTGGATTTGGAGAAGGCGTTTGACCGCGTCCTTTGGGGGGCCCTGTGGGGGGTACTCCGGGAGTATGGGGTACCAGGCCCTCTGATACGGGCTGTTAGTTCCCTGTCTGACCGGTGTCAGAGCTTGGTCTGCATTGCTGGCAGTAAGTCGGGCTCATTCCCAGTGAGAGTTGGACTCCATCAAGGCTGCCCTTTGTCACCGATTCTGTTCATAACCTTTATTGACAGGATTTCTAGGTGCAGCTAAGGTGTGGAGGGCATCCGTTTTGGTGGTCTGAGGATCAGGTCTCTGCTTTTTGCAGATGATGTGGTCCTGTTGGCTTCATCAGAACGTGATCTTCAGCTTTCGCTGGAGCGGTTCACAGACAAGTGTGAAGCAGCTGGGATGAGAATCAGCTCCTCTAAATTTGAGCATGGTCTTGATTCGGAAAAGGGTAGAATGCCTTCTCCGGGTCAGGGATGAGGTCCTGCCCCAAGTGGAGGAGTTTAAGTATCTTGGGGTCTTGTTCACGAGTGAGGGAAAACTGGAGCGTGAGATCGATAGGCGGATTGGTGCTGCGTCTGCAGTGGTCCAGGCTTTGTACCAGTCTGTCGTGGTGAAGAGAGAGCTGAGTCAGAAGGCGAAGCTCTCGATTTACCGGTTGATCTATGTTCCTAGCCTCACCTATGGTCATGAGCTTTGGGTAGTGACCGAAAGAACGAGATCGCGGCTACAAGAGGCCAAAATGAGTTTTCTTCGAATAGTGGTTGGCCTCCCCTTAGAGATAGGGTGAGAAGCTCGGCATTCGGGAGGGGCTCGGAGTAGACCCGCTGCTCCTCCACATCGAGAGGAGCCAGTTGAGGTGGCTCCGACATCTGGTCAGGATGCCTCCTGGATTCCTCCCTGGTGAGGTTTTCCGGGCACGTCCAACCGGGAGGAGACCTAAAGATAAACCCAGGACACGGTGGAGGGACTATGTCTCTCACCTGGCCAGGGAACGCCTTGGGATTCCCCCGGAGGAGCTAGCCCAAGTGGCTGGGGAGAGGGAAGTCTGGGCCTCTCGCCTTAGGCTACTGCCCCCGCGACCCGACTCCGGATAAGCGGATGAAAATGGATGGATGGGTCTACATAAAAGATATTATAACGTGTTTGAGTACGTGATTGTAAGGCTTGATGTGGATACTTTTACAAATGCATGTAAAAGTTAACTGTCATGTGTCGGTTCCCAGGCATCTGTGGTGCACCTGTTGAAGACGGTGCGTCTGCTTCGTTTACTGAGGCTCCTGCAGAAGATGGACCGCTACTCACAGCACAGCACCGTGGTTCTGACTCTGCTCATGTCCATGTTTGCCCTCCTGGCTCATTGGATGGCCTGCATCTGGTACATTATTGGGAAGATGGAGATGGAGTCCAATGCTTACAACTGGGATATTGGTGAGAAAACTTAGACCTACTGTCACTCCAAATCTAAAAATACCTACAAGACCAAGATCAAGACTGAGGTCTAGTATTTTTTTGTAAGGTTCTGCACTTTTACTACAGCAGGTTGGTGTTCTAACATGAGTGATTGTTGCCCTAGTTTTAACTAGAATTTCATTTGTGTTTCAGTTAATCAAACAGGAAGTGAAATAACGTCCGGGACCAAAGACAAAAAAATGAATCACTTTACTTGCATCCAATTTGAAAATGCTTTAATATAAATCATTTCCTTTACAAGTAATCAATATATATATATATAATTTTCATATTCAAGTGACCAAAAAAGATAAAAATACAATTTATGTTAATATGAAAATTGTCAAGTAGGGTGACTAACTGTAGAAGATTCATACTGATGTTTGAGGCACTAGTTTACTCGTTACTTGATTTGATGTTCATCTGTTCTCATTCAGATTGTGGTTCTGTAGAAGGTTTTGAACCAATAGCATGTTACCTGTAGAAGAATAAACTTTGGCTTCATTTTTAAGAAGCAAAATTTAGCTCTAGGATCAATTTAATCATCAATCATCATCGCAATCACCATTGACATTGTCTCTTTTAAGCTGGTGTGGTGTCTTTTATTAGTATAACAATTTTCATCAGTTTAATTGTCCATCCATCCATTTTCAGTTGCTTATCTGGAGTCGGATCGCAGAGGCCAGCAGCCTAAGCTTTAAGTCTTTAGTCTTTTAGCCTTTAATGATCACTGCCTCAAAATTCTAGATCAGGTCGCCCCTTACAAAACCAGCCGCAGTTCCAGTGCCTCCAGTTCACCCTGGCTGAACAGCCAGATTCTTGATCTTAGACGCTCCTATAGAAAAGCGGAACGACGGTGGAAGAGGACAGGTTTGGTTGTTCATTGCGAATATTTTAAAGAACTTCTAGAGTCATACAACAAAGCTGTAGAAAATGCCAGGTCTTCTTTCTTCAGCAACCTCATATGTCAAAATAAGAATAATCCTAAGGTTTTGTTTGATATCATCCCCAGCATCGTTTCTTCTCCTCTGCACCAGGCTTAGCTATCTTCAGCTGATGATTGTAACACCTTTCTCCACTTTTTTGCCAACAAGGTGCTGAATCTGAGATCCAGCATTCCACCAGCACACAACCCCCCCCCCCCCCCCCCCAGGAGGGGAGGCCCCCCAGTGCTCCGAGTCTTTCCCCTCCTTCTCCCCAATTACACTAAATGACTTAGCCTCAATAATCAGTCAGATGAAGCTCTCATCATGCTCATCAGACATCTTACCTCCCTCTGTCTTAGTCGGGTCCCTTGCCTCCATCAGTCCATCTCTGTTGACTATGATCAACAGCTCACTGAGCCAAGGCTGTGTTCCATCTTACTTTAAAAATGCAGTAGTGACTCCTCTCTTAAAGAAACCCAACCTTGTCGCCAGCTCCACCAGTAACTTTAGGCCCATTTCTAAACTACCTGTCATCAGTAAAGTACTTGAGAAGGTTGTGGAAACCCGACTCAGATCCTGGTTTTCTAAGTCAAAGATCTCTGACCCCTTCCAATCTGGCTTTCTGAAGCAGCACTCAACCGAGACTGCTCTAGTAAGGGTGCATAATGACCTCCTGATGGCTGCTGATGCTGGGAAATGCTTTGTCATGGTCCTGCTTGACCTCAGTGCAGCTTTTGACACTGTAGACCACAACGTTCTACTAAACAGGTTATAGGCCCTGGCTGGGATTTCAGGTTCTGCTCTAGACTGGCTCTCTTCTTATCTCATCAACAGAACATTCACAGTGAAGTCAGAAACCTTCTCTTCAGACACTGCCTCTCTAACATGCGGGGTTCCACAATGTTCAGTTCTAGGGCCTCTACTATTCGCATTCTATATTCTTCCTCTAGCTGGCATCATTCAATCTTTCCCAGACATCTCCTACCACATCTACGCTGATGATATTCAGCTCTATATGTCCTTCATGCCACACCAGTTGGACAGGCTGGCCACACTTGTACTCTGCCTGACCCAGATCAGTGATCAGTAACTGGCTGTCCAGCAACTTTCTTGTTCTCAATGCCAACAAGACAGAGACCCTGATCTCTGCACCCCCTGAACTTCAACCAAAAATCGAGCAGGAAATTGCCTCCTTTTGCCCATCAGCCAAGGCCAACATTAGAAACCTGGGAGTTAATTTTGATCCAGCTTTAAGTTTAGACTCACACGTCAAAACCATCTCCCGCTCTTGTTTCTTCCAACTGAGAAACATTTCAAAAGTCCGTAAACTGGTTTCTACTGCAGATCTGGAAAAAATCATCCATGTCTTTGTGTCATCACACTTAAACTATTGTAATGCTCTTTTTACTGGTCTCAGGAAAACCGCCCTCTCATGCCTTCAAGCCATCCAAAATGCAGCAGCCAGACTCCTAACCAAATCCAGCAGACGAGCTCACATCACCCCAGTTTTACAGTCCCTCCACTGGCTCCCGGTAGAATATAGAATACAGTTTAAAGTTTTAGTGCTGACCTATAGAGCTCTTAACAACCAGGCTCCAAGCTACCTATCTGAGCTTTTATCCCCACACACCACCTCTCGGAACCTTAGATCCACATCTGAAAACCTCCTGGCTGTTCCTCGAACCAGACTAAAAACCAAAGGGGACAGAGCCTTTCAGTCTATTGCCCCCAGACTTTGGAACAGTCTGCCTTCAAATCTCCGTCTCTTGAAATCTGTAGAGGTCTTCAAAACACATCTTAAAACTCACCTTTTCATCCAGGCTTTTCCCCGCTAAATATTCTAAAAGATGGCTTTGTTCTTGTTCACACCTTGACTTTGTTTTTACTCCTGATTTTGGTTACTATTGTTGTCACTGCTATTGTTTTTATGATGTTTTTATTGGTTTGAGTTATTTGCCCTGATTTTACTCATGGTGTACAGCGCTTTGTGATTTATATCTGTGAAAGGCGCTATATAAATAAACTTTACTTACTTACTACTTACTAAGCTGGGATGCCCAGACTTACCTCTCCTCAGCTACTTCAGCCAGCTCTTCCGGGAGAATCCCAAGGCGTTCCCTGGCCAGCCAAGAGACATAGTCCCTCCAGCGTGTCCTGGGTCTTCCTTTAGGTCTCCTCCCAGTTTGACATGCCCAGAAAACATCACCAGGGAGGTGTCCAGGAGGCATCCTAACCAGATGCCACTTCAACTGGCTCCTCTTGATGTGGAGGAACAACGGGTCTACTCCGAGCCCCTCCCGGATGACCGAGCTTCTTCTCTAAGGGAGAGCCCAGACACCCTGCGGAGAAAACAAACTTTGGTCGCTTGTATTCGCGATCTCGTTCTTTCGGTCATTACCCAAAGCTTGTGACCATAGATGAGGGTAGGAACATAGATCGACCAGTAAATCGAGAGCTTTGCCTTCCGGCTCAGCTCTCTTTTCACCACGACAGATTGGTACAACGCTCACATCACTGCAGACGCAGCACCAATCTGCCTATCAATCTCATGCTCCATTTGTCACCCACTCGTGAACAAGACCCCCAGATACTTAAACTCCTCCACTTGAGGCAGGACGTCGTCCCTGACCTGAAGAAGGCATTCTACCCTGTTATGATTCAAGACCATGGTCTCAGATTTAGAGCAGCTGATTCTCATCCCAGCCGCGTTGTACTCGGCTGCGAACCGCTCCAGCGAAAGCTGGAGTTCACTGTCCAATGAAGCCAACAGGACCACATCATCTGCAAAAAGCAGAGACCTGATCCTTAGGCCATCAAAACAGATGCCCTCAACACTTTGGCTGCACCTAGAACTCCTGTCCATAAAGGTTATGAACAGAATCGGTGACAACGGGCAGCCTTGGCAGAGTCCAACTCTCACCGGATACAAGGTCGACTTACTGCCAGCAATACAGACCAAGCTCTGACACCGGTCATACAGGGACCTAACAGCCCATATCAGAGGGCCTGGTACCCTATACTCTTGGAGTACCCCCACAGGGCCCCCCGGGGGATGCGGTCGAATGCCTTCTCCAAATCCACAAAGTACATGTAGATTATTTGGGCAAACTCCCACGAAACCTCCAAGATCCCCCTAAGGCCAGGACGAAAATTAAATGTTCCTCCTGAATCTGAGATTCAACAATCCGATGGACCCTCAGAATAGACCTTACCAGGGAGTCTCAGTTGTGTGATCCTACTGCAGTTGGAACTCACTCTGTGATCCCCCTTTTTAAATAGGGGGACCACCACCCCAGTCTGCCAATTCAGTGGGACTGCCCCTGATGTTCACGCGATATTGCAGAGCTCCGTCAGCCAACATAGCCACAAAACATCCAGAACCTTAAGGAACTCCGGGCTGATCTCATCCCCTCCCGGAGCCTTGCCACTAAGAACATTTTTGACCACCTCAGTGACCTCTGCCCCAGAGAGTGTAGAGTCTAACCCCCAAATTCCACTACCTCCGCTCCGCTCCACTCCGACACAAACGCCGGAGCAAAATCGGTCCCGTTGTAGTCAATCAGAGCAATTCCACTACTGCGGCCGTGCTCCGGCAGTGCGGCGCCGTGCGCCGCCCTCTGTTCCGGCGTCCGGCAAAAATAGAATCAATCCTATTTTCGCCGGACGCCGGAGCACCTCCGCAGTAAATGGACAGAAATCACAACTGCCCAACAGGAAAAGGAGCAAGCACAACTTCCGTTTTTCACAATAAATCGATAAACAAAATCTGTTCTTTGTTTCATATGCACAGGTTTAACAACTTTTAACAACTATCAATGGCGGCTGAAGTTTAAATGCACAAAAGTAAGCCATAAATACAGTTTCTACTATCAAAGTAGTCTCACTTTGTTGATCCAAACACTGCTGATCTCTCAACACAAATGATGGGCAGATTAAACAGTTCATGCCGATGCTTCTCCCGCACAACGGGTGTTTGGATCTAACTTCCGTGTTTATTGCTCGGACTGTATCGCAAGATCTCGAAAATCCCGTGCATGCTTGTTTGCCCACCTCAGGTCTCCGCACCGGAGCGGAGCCGTTGTAGAGCGGGTAGCAGTAAAAATTGAGTTCGGAAGCGAGCGGCTGCGGAAGGCGGGGGCGGACCGGAGCGGAGCGGAACGGAGGTAGTGGAATTTGGGGGTAACCCAAAGTCCCCAGACTCTGCTTCCTCACTGGAAGATGTGCCGGTGGGATTGAGGAGGTCTTCGAAGCATTCCGCCCACCGATCCCCAATGTCCCGAGTAGAGGTCAGCAGCACACCGTCACCACTGTAAACAGTGTTGGTAGTGCACTGCTTTCCCCTCCTGAGACGCCGAATAGTGGACCAGAATCTCTTCGAAACCATATGTAAGTCTTGTACCATGGCCTCACAGAACTCCTCCCATGCCCGGGTTTTTTCCTCCGAGACCACCCAAGCCACATTCTGCTTGGACTGCCGGCATCCATCAGCTACCTCTGGAGTCCCACAGGACAAAAAGACCAAATGGGACTCCTTCTTCAGCTTGACAGAATCCTTAACCGCTGGTGTCCACCAGCGGGTTCAGGGGTTGCCACCATGACAGGCACCGACAACCCTGCGGCCGCAGTTGCGTTCAGCCGCCTCAACAATTGAAGCACTGAACATGGCCCTCTCTCACTGAATGTTCCCTGCTTCCCTCTGGACTATTTGAAATTCTGTCGGGAGTAGGATTTGAAGCTCCTTCTGACAGAAGTGATGTGTAATTTCATCAAAAAGTGTGAGAGCAATAGGTTCTGTACACTGAGAATTTCTAAGCTGTTATTAATAACAGATCCTCATGGCTTTACCCCCAGCCTCTAGGGTCAGCCACATACTGAGGCCCACTGTGCTCATGTACTCTCACTATTTATGTGCTGCAATATTTGTAATTACCTCATTCCTGCATCCTCATCACTGATTGCAGAGCAGTATTTGGAGATGCCTCTTCACCAATTACTGCTGCTCAGTGTCATAAAATAGCAGGCCCAGGCTTGAGGCAGGATTAACGTGTTATGTCCTAATTATTTTTCTCTGATGCTGAAGTGAGTGTTAAAGTCGAGCAGGTATGAGGTGTTTCCTTCCAATTACCATTCATCAGTGTCAGCAAGAAAGTCTCATGGGATCGGCTGCGTCTCCATGCTGTACTGACCCCGGATAAGCTCTGGTTCTCAAACATCTGTTCTGTTTCCAGAGTTAAATCTATTGTTCTGGATGTCAGATAAACGGTTCCAATCGCAGGAGACTAAACTACACTTCTGAGTTGATCTTCACTCACATTTAGCTTCATCCGAGATAGATTAATCCGAGTAATAAAGTTTACAAACCAATGAGTTTTAAAATCAATGAGTCAATAGATGTTGTGAGTCCCTTTTTCAACTATTTGTTACCTTAACATGTTTCAACTGTCAGCTGTAGTCTCCCCAGATGCTGGTGTGAGGCACCGTCATCAGCTGTTTACCCCGTGGGCGTGGCCAACCCAGCTAAATGTCAGATCTGCCATGTTGGCCCCACCCACCACTGTCTGATGGGAGGGATTCCCGGGTTGTCGATTGTCCATTCTGATCTCATTGTCCTCTCTGATCCAGTTGTCTTTCCCAGTTCACAGTGGGATTGCCCCACACCAGTACCAGCACTTTTACTATTTATAATTCATAGTAAGGATGTAGTTGACAGTTTAAACATGTGGAGGCAAAAGAAAATCCAGACAATGTTCAAATGAAGAAAGAAAACAATGAACATAATTAGGTGACTCTGTTTAAATTCCTGCTCCTGCATCATAAACGTTCATTATTGATATTTCTGTAACAGGATGGCTCCACGAGTTGGGGAAGCGTCTGGAGTCGCCGTATTATGCAATGGGAGACATTAACGCAACTGGGAGTGGTCCATCCATACGCAGCGTCTACATCGCTTCACTCTACTTCACCCTTAGCAGCCTCACCAGCGTGGGCTTTGGCAATGTGTCCGCCAACACCGATGCTGAGAAGATCTTCTCGGTGTGCATCATGCTCATAGGAGGTACAAAAAACACAACATACCAAGCGTACATGCAAAAACATTCACTGTGACTCCATCTTGAAGAGTTATGATGAATAGCTCTTGATTAATTTAGCTTTGATAAAATGTAACTGCTGCGTTAATATATTTCGTACTGTTGCCCTTTACATGTCTCATTAGAATGCAGTGACAGACCTTTACTGAGTAGTCTGATCAGTTTATGCCTTATATTTTAGGTTTGTGATTTCGAGGGGAAGACGGGGTTTTCTCTATGGACAATCCCGTTCTAGTTCAGCTAAATGCTAAATGTCTCCTGTTGCCCCAGGGCAACAGCAGAGGCAGCCACACTTGCATTCTCTCTCACACCCCTTATGAGGCAGGATGCAATGCATGCTTAATTTTACTGCAGAGAATAAGTTTAACGAACCTGGTTCAGGGAACGGATAAAAATTCTTGTCTCTATTTAAAAAAAGCTTTTTCTTTCAAATTTCAGGGCTAATTTCTAAATGACAATAAGTTCTAAATGACTGTTTTTACTTTGATTTCCAAATGAACCATTACCTCCTTACCCCAGCATTCAGCACAAATATTTCTTAAAACTATTGCTATAAAGAATATATTGCTTACTTTGAGTATGGAAGCACTCTTACCTATAGGGCCAGACCGTGAAAGATTAAAAGAAAATCTATTTCCTTTTACATGAAAACTTTTACATTTTTTTCTGGAAAGTGTCACAAAGTACAAACAAATACTGAAAGAAATTACTAAGTATTTCTATATAATTATAATGACCACTTTTCACACCTAACTGTAGTTTGTGTCTGCAGCTTTTCCTCAGAAGATGTCAGTTTTTATTTCCAAAATGCTTTAGATGCTATAACGGAATTATCATGTATACAATAATATAAAATATGATTTCATCAGCACTGATCATTAAAATAGGATTTTTTTAAAAAGCAATAAACTGAAATGATATAATTACAAGTTGCTTTTATCAATTCTGATCTTCCAGCAGAAACAAAATCCTTTTGTCTCTACTGAGACGTGCATTAAAGGGGTCACAGCAACCCAGATAAATGGGTAAATTAAACCACATTTTAAACCCCTACCATCAAAAGACTGGTTTGTCCCACCCACTCAACCAGCACATGAATATGAAGTGAACTGTGTGCTGATTGGCCAGTGGACCCTGATGGCTCTATGGCGCTGCCTGTGGTTAGAAACTCTATGGAGGCTGTAGCAGTGCATTACTGAGACCAACATTACTGAAGTGGGTGGAGACATGCAAATGCAAGTGGGTGTGTCTATGCACATGGCGTGTTACACCAGCTTTTCTTAGAACAATCAGTTTCTCAGAAGCATTTACAACATGACCAATTTACACAGGAAAGCAGGTCAGACATGGCCCAGGCTGCATTATGCCCAGACCACACCGTGCGATTTTTGGCTGTCCTAGGCAAATCCCTCGTCATGAACGAAATCTTGTCAAAAAACGGTAAACGTGAGGGTGATTTGCAAGTCTGAGGCATCCCGTGTGACCGGCTCTGTGACAACTTAGTGAGTCATCTCACGACCAAAGACAGCCTCTAACCGTCTGCAAGCACTGCTTGAAGACTTCCCGTCTGCAATCGACCAATGAAAATATACCTTTATCTGTGACAGATAGGTTGTTGCTTCTCTGTATTTTATGTATAAAGGAGGATGAGAAGGATGAATGTCCAGCTGTCTGCTTTTACGAATGCTTTTGAGGGGGGGTCGTGCTCGTGATGTAACGTGTCCTGCTGCATGAGATGTTGTGCAGTTCGGCTTACGGTAATCTTGCACCGTAGAGTGTGCCACATTTAGAGTACTCAGTGGGACATGGGCAGTCTTGTGTGACTTCCGTGTGGTCTGGCTTCAGACACCCCAAGCTGCATATATTCAACAACAACAAAGAAAAAGTGGTTTTAAATTCTAAGATCCTAAATATTTTACAATGTTTAAATGAGAAGGTGATCTATATGACATTAGATTATTGTTATCATAATTTTACTATTAATAATTTTGCATTGTAGTACTGTACAACCATTGTTTCCCTAGAACAAAGTTACAAAAATATTTGTTTTCCTTTTTTATTTGGGTGTAGATGGTAAAGGGTTAAACTGTCGTTTAGTGTAGCCATGAGGACATTTTGGACGTGCGTATTTGTTCCTATTGTAACAGAGAATACTTAAATGTTCACTAAAAAGTAATACGTAATTCAGTTCTAACATATCTCATTATTCCCCAAGAAGGAAATTGCTTGGCAACAGCTGTTTATAAAAAGTGTAAACGTAAAGCTCATTAAAATAAAACACACATGAAAGGAAAAATACCATCATTGCAAATAGGAAAATAATTAAAGGTTCTCAACCCTCCAGTTGACTATTATCTTCAGTAGGTTCTTGGGTTCTGCATGAAGAACCACTGATGTAAATCAGACCTTTTGGAGCAGAGAAACATCGAAGCCTGCAGGATGGTGGTCAATGAGGACCAGGACTGGAGTTTTACCACTTTAAACTTATTTTGTGAGCACTAAGAGCTTAGCACGGCAGGACGTTTCCCTCATTTGTTTCGCTCCTGTTAATAATAATAATAATAATAACAATAATAATGCATTGAACTTATATAGCACTTTTCTAGACACCCAAAGACGCTTTCACACTCTCACATTCACACACTGCTAGCGATGGTAAGCTACTTGTAGCCACAGCCGCCCTGGGGCGGTTTGACAGAGGCGAGGCTGCCATTTAGTGCCGTCGGCCCCTCTGACCACCACCAACACAGGCAAGTTTGGTGAAGTGTCTTGCCCAAGGACACAACAGCAGGATACCCCTGGCGGGAGCTGGAATCGAACCCATGACCCTCCGATCATGAGGCAACCCGCTCTACCACCTGAGCTACTGCTGCCCCAGCAAGTGTAGAAGGGTCAAAATCCAGTTGATGAGAGCTTTAGGTACATTCAGGAAATTTTATTCACTTGTAAACCGAAATCCCTAACAAGGAAAGATGGTTCAACCAGAGCCATATTTGTGTTTGTGTTGCACAGCTGTGGTGCGACAGAGGACTAAATGAGATCAGGAGAAAATATTACACCAATTAAATCAGATGCTGTCAGGTTTGGCTCACATGTTTCCATCAAGGAAGAGCAGTGGTGCAATGGAAATGGGAATATAGATTTAGGTTTTTGTCAGTTTATTTTATTTTGAGTTGAATTTACACTTTTGTTTTTTCCCTCATTTTTCATGAGCTGAACTCAAACATCTGAAATGTTTTCTACATCCACAACAGACCCATGACTCTCAAATCTTGTTCTGAAATCTGTTTACACATATATGTACTTTACCTTTACCAAGATAATCCATCCCACCTCACAGGTGTGGCATATCAAGGGGCTGATTAGGCAGCATGAATAATGTACAGCTGTGCCTTAGACTGCCCACAATAAAAAGGCACCCTGACATGTGCACAGTTTTGCTTTATGGGGGTGGTGGGGCAGAAAACCAGTCAGTATCTGGTATGGCCATTTTCCTCATGCAGAGCAACACATCTCTGAGTGTCACCTGCAGGATTAATGTTTAAATAGTTTTCTAAATCTATTTCCTGCATTTGCTGCTGAACAAAAGAAACAGAATAAGCCACTCAGATCTGCCCCACACACAATTTGCATTTATGGACCACCCATCTTGGCACATAATTTTTGCAGCCAGGAGAAAGCAGAGCACATCTTGGCTAGTAGAACCCAACTGCTAGCATTAGCAACTCCACAACATGGCAAAACATGTTGACTTTTTTTATTTGTGAAGATAAAATACAAGCGGAAGTAATAGAATAGCAGTGGACACTGAAAATGTTAAGAAATGCTGAAATTACTTTGTGTTACAGAGATTTTGTGCAAATTCAATTCAGTTCAGTTCAAATCACAACAAGAGTCGTCTCAAGGCACTTCTCCAAGTAAACATCCCAATACAGTTCAGTCTATTAAACCAGTCAGTAACAAGTTTCCTATGCAAGGAACCCAGCAGGTTGCATCGAGTCACTGACTAATGTCAGCATCTTTACAGCAATCCTCATAATAAGCAAGCATGCAGCGACAGTGGAGAGGAAAACTCCCTTTTAACAGGAAGAATCCTCCGGAGGATCCTGGCTCAGTATAAGCAGCCATCCACCACGACTCACTGGGGATTGAGAAGACAGAGCAGGCACACACACACACACACACACACACACACACACACACACACACACACACACACACACACACACACACACACACACACACACACACACACACACACACACACACACACACACACGCACGCACACACACACGCACGCACACACAACATATATACCAAGTAGTGTTTCTATGGTTGCATTGTGGTTTCTTAGTAAATATTCTATTCAGTAAAATATTAACTTTATTGTATTTATCTTAGTGAACCTATAATTAATTCAAGGGGTACACTAGTAGTAGCCCATTCCATGCCAAAGAAAGTAAAATGTTATTATCTGGAGAGGGAGAAAGTTTCAGTGGTTAGCAGCAGTGTTTAAGCCGATGGAACCCTCCATGAGGCTACGACTGCTCAGCAGAACACCATTGTGGCTTCTACTAAAGAGAAAGACACGAAGAAGAAGAAGAAGAAGGAGACAATATTTTATATAGCGCCTCTCAAAATAAAAATCACGAGGCATTTAACAAAAACAAAAACAAAAAAAATTAAAGTACAAAAAGATTTCAAAAGTGATTAAAATTATGTTTAAAAGGAGAAGAGAAATATTGTAAGGAAAGGGAGAGAGAAAATATACCAATATTTAAGTCAGGTGATTCAATTACAGGCCAGTCTCTCTGTTACCCCAGTTCTCTATCAAAAGATCTGCAGCAATGGCAACTATTAACATGGTAGAGGGAATATCTAAAGCAATCAATAATTAAAAAACATGCAACAGGAATTTTTTTAGATCTTAAGAAAGCATTTGACACTGTAGATCACAATGTCCTGCTGACCAAATGATATAAATAAGGCATAAGAGGATCAACATATAAGTGGTTAAAGGTTACCTAACAGAAAGAAAACAATACACAGAATTACATAATGTATAATCAACAACAAAACTAGTGTCCTGTGGGGTTCCTCAGTGTTCAGTATTAGGGCCCAAGTTATTTACATTTTACATCAATGACATCACTAAAATAACCAATAAACTGAACTATATTCTCTTTGTAGATGATACCTATATATATATATATATATATATATATATATATATATATATCACTGGGAAAGACCTGGGACAGCTTCTAAACACAGTTGGGAAAGAACTAGGAAAACTAAAGACCTGGGGTTGCGTAAGCAACTTTCCACGCAAACTTTGGGATTTATAAAAGAAGACTTAGTGGAAAAATGTGCTCAACATTAAGTTGGCTAAGGACCTTGCTTACGCACATTTTGGACATGGAGAGCACCTGCAGTGCTGCTGCTGAGAAGGAAAAAGTTATGAAATCCTGCAGCATTATCACTTGTACTGCTTCTTTCACACAGAACAAGACCCCCCACATGCACACAGACACATGCACGCGAGCAAACACACACACATGCACACACACACACAGACACACACACACATGCACGCATGCACACACACACACACACATGCACGCACACACACACACACGCAGGCGCGCACGCATGCACACACACACATGCGCACACACACACACAGCCTGAAGCGCAGAATACGGAATGTTGAATGTCAGCAAGGGGGCAGATTGAGACAGAATGTTATGCGTCTGTGACAGTGTGAGCATCCTGTCACGATGACCCGATTGATCATACGCCCTGGTTACTTGGACAAGGGAGATCTCCCTTTGGCTGACTGGTTAGCATGCATGACTCTCAACTGGGAGCCTGGGGATTGAATCCCGATCTGATCATTTGTTTTATATCCGCCACAGATCTCTCTGAAGAACTCACAACATTGATGGCTTCAGCAACGCTGTGCCACTCCGTGGATTTTCTCTTATTTGTTTTGCAAAAGCACTTCCTTTCATTTTTCCGCCTCACCCATAAAGGTTGGTTTATGCTTGACGCGTCCACGCGGTCCGCACGGCTCCGTGCGGCAAAATTGCGTAATTTTAACAACCACGCCCCTCCACCGCGCCTCCGCATGGCCCAAAATTTCCACAACGCGCACCCAGGAAAATTTCTAACCAAGCGGATGGTCGGACGCGGAAAAACATGGCGGACTGGCAAGAACTAGTATGGCAGAGGTTCGTAAATACAGACATTTGTATGATTCAGCTCTCAGAGATCACCGTGATCAACATGTTGTTAATAATTCTTGGAGAGAATTAGCTTGCACTGTCAGAAAAGACGAGGACGCTGTTAAAAATGCTGGAATGCCATGTTGTAAACAACAGTTTTTACTTCTACTATGGTGTAGTGTTGGATGCATGCCGTAGAGCTCCATGCTGCCCCGTTCAGTTTGGGAGAATATTGGCTCACCGCAGAGACGAGCTGCATGAACCATAAACGCTGCAAATTGTGAAGCGCGTTCCATCCGCGAGCCGCATCACCAAGCGGAAAGTGAATGCGTCAAGCATAAACCAAGCTTAAGTACCTCAATTTCTGCTTCAGTGAAACTGCGCTTCCTTGATCTGCGGTCGCGATCTTTATGGTGGAGCACTGCAACAAGCTGGCTTATGTATATGCATGAGGTCCACAAGGCACTTTGCATTGACCATTTATGGCAGAAAGTGGGCAGGTCGAGGGCGGGATGTGACTCAACCAGCTGAGAACATTTCTAGGTAGTCTCTGATTTATAAAGCATGTTTTATAAATCACAAACCTACTTGGCGTAAGTACTTTTTTTTTTTTTTTTTTGCTGAGCCTAAGTACGGTTTTAGTAAGGATTCTATGCAATGTTTTATAAATGAGACCTCTGGTCCTTACACCCGATTTTAATCAGCTGCAGTCAGGCGTAAAGGCCTGTTTTGCTGTGCTGTGGTTTATTGTCCACCTGGTCCAAACAGTTCTTTTCTTCAGGAGTTAAGTGACTTTTTATCCTCCACTGTGAAGCTGTCCAGACTGTTGATTGTTGCTGATTTTAACATTCACACTTGGAAAGAAAATAAAGTTAGCAGCTGATATAGCAGGAAATAATGCAATTAGAGAGAAGTGGCAGAAGAAAGTAGTGGAGTATGGAAAGTGATCAGTATGTCCTCCGGCAGTCTAAGCCTATAGCAGCATAACTACAGAGATAAATGGATAACCTAGCTTTTTAGATGGAGGCATATTGGGGGCATGGCAAGGGAGACCCGTCTTTACCGACTGTATTACCCACTGCGCACTCCACCTTCCTCTACTCCCCCACTCGTCCAGATCTGGGCTAACATCAGATTTTAACCATAGGCCCTGTCAAATAAAAATGTTTTAAGCCTAGACTTAAAGACAGACAAGGTGTCTCCCCACAGACTCAAGCTGGGAGCTGGTTCCAAAAGAGAGGAGCCTGATAACTAAAAGATCTGCCTCCCATCCTATTTTTAGATATTCTGGGAACCACCAGTAGACCTGCAGTCTGAGAGCGAAGTGCTCGGTTAGGAACGTATGGAACAATCAGATCACTGATGTATGATGGAGCTTGATTATTAAGAGCTTTATATGTGAGAAGAAGTATGTAGGGAAGCTAAGACAGGAGAGATATGATCTCTCTTTTTAATTCTCATCAGAACTCTAGCTGCAGCATTTTGGACAAGCTGAAGACTTTTAACTACATTCTGTGGACTTCCTGAGAGTAATGAATTACAGTAATCCAGTCTTGATGTAATAAATGCATGAACTAGTTTTTCAGCATCAATCCTGGAAAAGATGCTTCTAACCATAGCAATATTCCAAAGGTCGAAGAAGGAAATTCTACAAACCTGTTTACCATGGAATTTGAATGACATGTTTTGTATCGACGATAGAACTATTATAACTAACAAAATCTTGTGCCCTTATGTTCTTTATTCAAGGCAGACCCAAGGCTAAAATTAAAAATTGTTTTCCTATTTGGATTTGTCTCCTAAAAGTTTTTAGTTGAATCTGAATGTTTTCCCATATATCAGTAATACCTTTTCCTATCATCCTCCATTCTGTAGCACTGATGCACGCCTTGGTCTTTGGTAATGTGACAGCCATTATCCAGAGGATGTACTCCCGCTGGTCTCAGTACCACACCAGGACCAAAGACATCAAGGACTTCATACGTGTCCATCACCTGCCTCAAAGCCTCAAGCAGCGAATGTTAGAGTATTTTCAGACAACCTGGTCGGTGAACAACGGCATAGACTGCAATGAGGTACAAAACAGCAATAATTTCAGTATTTTGTGGAACATTTTGCTGTTTATGAACCCATCCAGAATGACCATCAAAGACTGAATCCCTTTAACAAGCGGCCCTTCAACTTTTATCTTCTGAATTTATCTTTGGCCTTTTATTTTAAATTTGTAACAAAGAGGAAGCTGGTCAAATATTCCATTGATAAAAAAAGGATACCCCTTAAGAATGTCACCATATGTCACCAGCAGGTTGAATGTGCTTCTGTAAATTCTCCACATTTTTCGTCCACATGGGAGTTCATATGCAAACATTTTTATATTATATAGTTTCAGCCTTTGGGAAAAAGGATAATGTTCCACCTCTAACATAACACGTGTGATACAAGAATATCAGACACATACCATACCGTTTTCTTTCTATAGCACATACAAAAAACAGCATGAAAGCTGACCAAGTCCTGCGCAAGACAACGATCGTAAAATAAAAAGACATTTTAAAAAAAAGTAAAAACTGTCAACAATAACACCAGATAAACACAACACAGAAAAGAGTCTCAGGCCAAACACCAAGTCATTAACGTGGGTCTGTAGTCATGACAGTGATGGATGATACCTGTCTAATCGAGTGCATTCCAGAGTGCAGGGGCAGCGCACACAAAAGCTCTCTCTGTCTTGCTTTATAGTTCATGGTAGGTGTGCAAAGTAGCGGAAGATCTGCCGACCTCAGTGTGAGTACCTGTACGGGAGTGAGCAGGTCAGATAAATAGGAAGGTGCAAGACCGTTCAAAGTTTTAAATGCAAAGAGCAGTACCTTAAATCTGACCATTAAAGTTAAGTGGAAGTCAATGAAGTTCTGCCAGAACTGGAGTGACACATTGTTTGTGTTTGTCAGGAACGTCGCCACAGCATTCTGCACAGTCTGCAGCTGATTCAGGGCCGAAACAGGAGTGCCAATGAGAAGTGAATTTGTGTAGTCCAGATGAGAGGTGATAAAGGCATGTAAAACATATTCCAATTGTGACCGTTTCATTATTGATTTCAAGTGCGTTGAGCGGCGTAACTGAAAGAAACATTAAACCACCGCATTTATCTGAGGGACCATCGAAAAGCCAGCATCAAATTGTGTCACAACAATAAGAGAAGATTGTTGGTGCTGCAGATGTCTCAGAACAGCTGCTCCAAAACAGCAAAGATACTCATTCCCTGCTCTTGGGTTTAAAGCTCCATTAGCAGACTTCTGTCTTTTTCTGTTCTTACTACTACCTGCTGGAGGTCTGTCACAGTCAAGATGTAAACTCTTAAACTCTTTATCATCTGGCCTATACGTTTAAATGACAATGGCTCTGTCCAAATCAGGGGGCTGCATCCTGCCTAGACCACAATTTAAAACCAACCACATCACAGCGGAGTGAGAAGCAGTCCAAATTCATATTCAAAATGAGTCTACTTGTCTACTAGTAACTTTTCTCTTTGGGAATTTCATGCTAGTGAGACATCTGTCGGAATCAGAAAAACCCTCTGCGCTGTCGCCTGTAGGTTTCTGAAAGACTGAATTGAAGCTGAAGTGGGCGGTTTCCACCACAGCCATCTTGGTCACATCACGTGTCTTGTCACTCCTGAGAGCAGGGCTATGACGGTGGGGTCAGATGATTGACACCAATCAAGCTCTGAGCCAGTTGCTACGAGCTAACTGAGCTAACCAAAGCTAATGGAGGTCAGTGGGTGCTTTCAGTGAGAAAACAGTGGTTGAGCTTTTAACTTTTAATGTGAAATAGAGGCTGAGGCCTTCCCTTGAGGAACCAGAAGGCTAGCGGCTTGTGCTAGCACTGATGGCTTATTGGCCTCTGCCAGTCAAACGGACACACATCTAAATAGTCATAATTTCAAGCTTAAGTTGCAACTAAACAAATGATTTACAAAACTATTCACCCCTTTTAAACCTACAATGGTTTAATGAACCAGGCTGTAAACATGTTTAGTTCTGCTGTAAAGTTAGCATTTTTAACATGTGAGTAAATGGGAGCTTGCTCTTTTCTGGATCTTGCCCCTAGTGGATGAGGGAGGAATTGAAATTTTCCTTGCTTCTACATTGGATTCACTTCTGGCAGGTGGAGTTTGCCCCTTGGTCAGAATGCTACCCAGGGCTGAGATGGGGTGGTGATGAATCTCAGGCACATAAGTTATAGATTGTTTGGTTACAGCCAGCTCTCATGACTCATAATGATTGGGTCTATGGATCTTTGTCCTAACTAAGGACATGTGCAACATTTTCACTTTTATTTTTAAAGCTGTCATAAGTCACCTCCACATTGTATGAGTTGTGTTTATAAGAACTAAAAGTTCACTTATTGAGATGCAGAATGAAGTTGTCATAACAAATATGCTTCACACCATCAGTCGTCATCTGTCCCCCTACCTCCACAGCTACTGAAGGACTTTCCAGATGAGCTGAGGTCTGACATCACCATGCATCTGAACAAGGAGATCCTAGAGCTTTCGTTGTTTGCCTCTGCCAGCCGCGGCTGCCTGCGTTCCCTGTCGCTGCACATTAAGACCTCCTTCTGCACCCCCGGAGAGTACCTTCTTCGACAAGGGGATGCCCTCCAGGCCATTTTCTTTGTCTGCTCGGGGTCAATGGAGGTGCTAAAGGATGGAATGGTTTTGGCCATCTTGGGTAAGTTAAAGGCGGAAGGAAAAAGTGGGAATTTAGAGTGTTTTGAAACTGTTCTATAAAAGCAGTAAACATTGAGCACCTCATTTTTGGGCTAAAAAATTACTGTAAATGTTATTTAAAAAGAACCATTAAAATGACCTGTTCATTCCCACCATTTGTTAAGGTGGTCAAAGCAGCATTGTTTTAAGGTGAAGCCGTACATTGAACAGCTTGTTTTCAGGCACTGCCACATTGTGCCATCATTGTATATATATATATATATATATATATATATATATATATATATATATATATATATATATATATATATATATATATATATATATATATAAATATACATATATATATATATATATATATATATATATATACATACAATGATGTATATATATATATATATATATATATATATATATACAATGATGTATATATATATATATATATATATAAATATATATATATATATATATATATATACATACAATGATGTAAGGGTATAGAGCTGGTCCACAGTTCCACGGCCAGGACGAAAACCACATTGCTCCTCCTCTATCTGAGATTCAACTATCGATCGGACCCTCCTCTCCAGTACCTTGGCGTAGACCTTTCCAGGGAGGCTGAGGAGTGTGATCCCCCTATAGTTGGAACACACCCTCAGGTCACCCTTCTTAAAGATGGGGACCACCACCCCGGTCTGCCACTCCCTAGGAACTGCCCCCGATGACCACGCAATGTTGTAGAGACGTGTCAACCATGACAGCCCTACAACATCCATAGCCTTGAGATACCCAGGACGAACCTCATCCGCCCCCGGGGCTCCGCCGCTGTGTGGTTGTTTGATTACCTCAGCAACTTCTGCCACCGAGATCGGACAGTCCATCCCCAGGCCTCCCAGCTCTGGTTCCTCCTCGGAATGCGCATTGGTGGGATTGAGGAGCTCCTCAAAGTATTCCTTCCACCGTCCGACTATAGCCTCAGTTGACGTCAGCAGCTCCCCATCCCCACTGTAAACAGTGTGAGCGAGTTGCTGCCTTCCTCTCCTGAGGCGCCGGACAGTTTGCCAGAACCTCTTTGGAGCCGATCGATAGTCTTTCTCCATGGCCTCACCAAACTCCTCCCACGCCCGAGATTTTGCCTCGGCAACTGCCACTGCTGCACCCCGCTTGGCTATCCGGTACCTGTCTGCTGCCTCCGGAGACCCACAGACCAGCCACGCCCTGTAGGCCTCCTTCTTCAGCCTGACGGCTCCCCGAACCTCTGGTGTCCACCAGCGGGTACGGGGGTTGCCACCACGACTGGCACCGGCCACCTTACGACCACAGCTAGCAACAGCCGCCTCGACAATCGCAGAGTGGAACAAGGCCCACTCGGACTCAATGTCCCCCCACTGCTCTCGGGACGTGGTCAAAGCTCTGCCGGAGGTGGGAGTTGAAGACCGTCTTGACAGCTTCTTCTGCCAGGCGTTCCCAGCAGACCCTCACTATGCGTTTGGGTCTGCCAGGTCTACGCGGCATGTTCCCTTGCCATCTGATCCAACTCACCACCAGGTGGTGATCAGTTGACAGCTCCGCCCCTCTCTTCACTCGGGTGTCCAAAACATACGGCCGCAGGTCAGATGATACGACTACAAAATCTATCATCGACCTGTGACCTAGGCTGCCCTGGTACCAAGTGTACCGGTGGGCATCCTTATGTTCGAACTTACAAAAATGTGATTTATTCAAATTTCCCAAGGCAATGGTAAACAAAGTGCGCATTTGGTTTTTGTTAAACATTTGTGACTTATATTAGTTAACAGTTTCAGTCACATTCACTCCAAACCACATTTTGAGTTACAAATATTGTTGGAAAGAGCTTCTTAGCATTCTACAGATACACAGTATTGTCTGTAAAATAAAATCACTGAACTGTGATCTTGAGAAAGAGTTTAAAAAAAGTGTCCCAGTTCACTGCTAGTTGCCTTCATTTGTGGTCCAAACACATTATTTTGTGTTTTTAAGCGATTTTTTTCTTATTCAGTGAGAGAAATCTCTCTGCTGGGCTTTAACGAGTGCATCAAAGTCAGGTTGAATGTCTGAGGTGGAGATGCGAAGCACAGCTGACAAATGATCCGTGAGAGAGGATCTATAGCTGGATTTTGTAAACTTCATCATTGAAAATGTTTGTGTCAGGGACTTGCATAAACCAGCCAGCAGAGCACGAATGATTTTCTTGAAATCTTCATTTATTACTTTTATTCTTTTCTCCAAAGAGGGTTCCAACCAGCGCTTGACATTACAAGACAATGGACGTAGTAACAAAGTAACCCAAACTCAGGACCTGACTACAGACATGCACAAAAAATTACCCTCTACAGATGCAACAGGATCAACTTAAATAGTGGTTGATCAGACCACTGCCAACACAATAGGGTGGGGAGACATCAGTAAACAAACAACATAAATAAACTACCCCTAACAAATTCATACTAATCAGTCCATTCTGTTTGAGTTACTTCAAATGAAAACATTACTATCAAAACTCAACTACTATTTACAAAAGACAATAACTAAATACATAAACACAGGAATCTTCTCCCCTGAGAGTTGGTATGACCCAATGGTGCTGATTAGGCCAGGTGATCTGCTACAGCTGCTCCAACTCCAAGGCCACTGGCAACTCAAAGAAAACATATTAATCATACAAACCCCTACAGACTAAAACCGATGAGTAACTGAATGTGTGCACTTCATACAGTCACCCAAACAGTCAATCCATGGAAACAAACACCTTTGTTCAAAATAAAAGAAACATCAACAGTTATTTACATGAAGTGTGGCAGCAGGGCAGCTGTCACAGTTTGTTCTCAAATGTAGGTAGAGCCGAAGAAAACCAACATCTTCTGAGCATGTCTCCTCAGGTTTGGAAAGTTCTCCTCCTTAAGAGAAGAGTAGAAATCCAGCAGAGATCCTGAATCTCTGCTTTCAAGTCCCAAACCCTCTTCAGCACTTTCCCCAGGCTGAGCCATCTGACTGCTGTGTGGAGTCCTCCAAAAGAGCGACAAACTGTCAGTGATTCATTGCCCGCGCCCTGATGAAGTTTATTATTTTAGTAACAACATCAGTAACATGGTTGATTTTTAGCACTGACTTGCACAACACATGTTGGTGTATAATTCAATGCAAAAACACCTATTTTTGATCTGCATCGATTTCTGTCACTTTATCTTGCATGCGTTTCAAAAGTCCGACATTTTTCCCTGTAAGGTTTGGACAACCGTCTGTTGTGACACCTGACAGTCTCTCCCATTTCAATCCCAGAGTGTCCATGCACACATTTACCTCTGTAAAAAGATCACTCCCTGTCGTTGTCCCTTTCATCGACCGCATTGCTGCCCGCTCCTCTGTGAGCTCCATTATCCCCCGGACAAATACGAGCAGCTGGGCTGTGTCGCGGACATCACAACTCTCGTCTAAGGCCAATGAGAAAAAGTCAAAACTTGCCACTTCACATTGCAGCTGAAGCTCCAGGTTCCCCACAATGTCCTCGATCCTCCTGGTCACGGTTGGCCTGGACAGCAGGATTTGCTCAAATGCGCCTTTTTTCAGGGCATATTAGTGCTGCGGAGTCCACCATGCACTCTTTGACAAACTCTCCCTCCGAAAACAGCTTGCTGTTTTTAGCTATTTTGTGGGACATCACAAAGCTGGTCCTTGTTGCTGCATCCCTGGATGTGTGAAGCTTAGTAAAACAGCCTTGCTGCTTTTGCAACTTTGCTAGCAAAGCTTCGGATGTCCGTGCCCTCTCAGCATCAGACAAGTTCTTGTATTTTTCCGAGTGTTTCTTGTCGTAATGCCGACTCAAATTGTAGTCCTTAAACACGGCAATCTCCTCCCCGCAAACCAAACACACGGCTTTACCTCAGACTTCAGTAAAAAAAATACTTAGCAGTCCAATTTTTGTTGAAAATCCTGCATTCGGCATCTTTCTTTCTTTCTTTTTTTGCATGAGCAGACATTTCTGGGGCTACAATCACCATCAACCGCGGGCACTTGTTGCTATACGTATTGCGTAATTGTGCACGTAAAAAACAACTTTAAAATAAAAGCAATGCAGCCTTAGCCCATGCATGAGGTAAAATGAGAAAATACATTTATTTTGTAATTTCCAATTAACCTTACGCGGGCCGATCAAAGTCAATCAAAGGGCCGTATGTGGCCCGCGGGCCGTAAAATGCCCAGGTCTGCTCTAGCAGCTGGTTCATTTGTGCTGCCAGGTGCTCATGGAGTGCAGCAAACTTCTCAGACCAGTAGGTGTAGATCATGTCAGGTTTTTCATACCTGTGACTCTTTCTTGGATGTCTGTCACAGCTGTGGACGCTGGATTCTGCTCGGGGAGGTTGCTGTGGTCTTCTCTTGGACAGGCTAGCCACTTTGCATTGCTATTGTGGGAATCTTTCTTCTCCCAAACACGGTTCTTGTAGTGTTCAGACTCCAGCCTTGGTAGGTCTGCTTAGATGTTGTTACCCTTCCACTAAGAGTATGCTTTAGCTGGTTGGGTCGAGAAGAGCTGGTTCACACATTATCACTTATCACATCATTCTGATCTTGTTCTTGTTGATCAAACACAGAATTCTTTATTTAATTATTTGAAACATGGTTACTATTTGAAAAGCTTTTAGCGAGTGCATTTCAAATATAATTCTGTGTTTGATCAAGAACAAGATAAGAATTATGTAAACAGAAATCAATAAAAAATCTTGAAGTTTTTTCCTTTTTGTTTGTCAGGAAAAAGCTCAATTTGTTCACATGAAGTGGGCGGAGCTTAAAACATATATTGGAACCAACCACTAGGGAGATTGATGCCTATTTAGAAGTACAACTTTCTGTTTATTGTTATTGTTTCTGTTGATGGGATAAACAAATAGTTGTTTAAATACTCTAAAGCCTGATTTATACTTCTCCATCTGCATAGGTGAGGAGACACGCAACGCTATTATGCGTCAGCGCAAGAGCTCTCCA